CTGTGTTTTTATGAAATCATGTGGTATCAAACTTGTCAATTCCAAGCAGAAAAATGAAACAAACTCGTCTGCAGGCTTTACAATAGTTTCTAAATCACATCTATCCGTGGTAACCCACTGTTCAAATGAAAGCTGATCAATGCATTTTTCCTCTAATTGTTTTAATAAAATGTTTTCTAATGCGGAAGAGTCTGGACAATCTTCACAACACCGTAGATAGCAATATGTTGTCTTGTTTTCACAAAGTAGGCTGTCAGTGAACGTTTTTACATCATTAAATGGTTAAGTTTTTTCAAACTGTGTAAAATTAGATTGATGTTTTTATGCGTTGTGCACACGCAAACATTGTGGGTTCCAGAGCTGGTTAAAAGTTTACATTGCTTAGGGCGGAGTTTTGCAAATGAAGAGAATCCAATTTTTACATTGCAGTGAATTTCATTGAATCGTTTATAAGCTTCTCTCAAAGTCATCATTAGTAATCTTTTTTGAATGGCTTGTCGTTTTCCTTCTTTCTGCACATACACATAATCTTTTTGACCAGGCATTGCCCGGCTTATATCATCATCTTCAAAAAAAATTTATGACTGCCAATTTTGTTTCATCACTTAAGGCTGTGCCATATTTTGCGGTTTTTGACGAATGACCTTCCTTTATCAACTTAGCCTCTGTTGCAATATATCTACTAGCATTAAATTGATCCATAACTTTTTGTGTTGACCATGAATAAGGCAATAACGATAAAATTAATAATTTTTAACTTCTTGCAGTGGATGCATTGGAAAACTTTTCCTTCATGTTTTCTAAAACTTTTTTGAGTTCATTCACTTCGTCAGCCTCAGGCTCGAAGTTGAAAAGATTCTTTCTAATACCTTCGTTGATTTCACGGTGCTTCTTTTCGGGGTAGTGGATGTAGTTGAGTTTTCCCACGTCTATCGGTGATACCTGGATTCCTGCAATGCCTCGGTTGAATATCTCGATGTTGACTGGTTGAGTAAATTCTTGGTACGATTGAACTGAAGTAACTGATGTCATTGATGGTACAGTTGTAAGGCTTTCACAGCTCGGTACGACAGGTACTATAACTGTAGTTGGCATCTTTGAGCTTCCGGCAACATGTTGTTCCTCGTTTGAGATGAAAAAAGCTTGTTTATCAACACGAAGACGACAGGACGTGCAAATGCGAAAACCAGTATTCAATCCTGATGCTTCAGAATATCCAATCGATTTTAATTTCTGGATGGTAATATTCGAAATATTCCTCAGCTCTTTCGAGCACTTGACTTCCTGGAACGGCCGAATGCACCTGATAAAACATGCTCGTTCACTCATGTTGCTTCCTGTATTAAAAAAATTAAAAATAATAATCTTTAAAAATGATTTCATTGAAATACAACTGAAGGTTATGCTTACCTTTTAACCAAATGGTGTTACACTTATTTCCTATGATAACTTTTTAAGATGTATGCGGTAAAAAGCAATCTTTGTGATCAACTGCTTGTTTTCACCATTCAAACTCATTTAAGTATCAGATCGATAGGTATAATTTCTACATTAGGTACAGACAGATGTTTTTGGTGTTCACTACTACAGTGTTGAGTATTTGACTTATTACCGTTAAGATCACTGATACAACTATGCAAAATTGAAGACAATTAATAAAAAAGAAAATTAATCGCTAGTTTGAGCATCATTTCACTTTTATTTAGTTCTAGCTCAATATTCATCAAATGAATTTTTTAGTTTTGTTAGTAACGATACCTTTTCATGGTATCAGATGTAATGAATCCTAACTTTTCAATAGGGCCTGTGAAGAAAAACACTAATGAAATAAACATATCTATATGTATTGCAAAAACGGCTTGCTTGATTGCATTGGTGTCTTCGAGAAAGTTGTGCAAAATTAAAATGCAATTCTTGAAAAAATATACACGGTTGAAAAACATGTGTTTTTAATGTAAATGTAAAAATCGTGAAATTTTCAAAAAATCATAACTTTTTAACATAACATGTTTTTGAGTTTACCATCACCAGTTTGTAGCAAATATTATAAGCTTCAATGAGGCTTAAAACGAAAATTTTCAAAAATGTACTTTTTGAGAAATTAATTTTTTTAATAAGAAATATATTTTTTTTTTCATTGAAACAAACGAATTTTTTACAGTGTATATTTTTAACATTATTGCCAAAATAATATCTACAACTTTGCTCAAGACACCAAATTAATCGAACTAAGCGTTTCAGCAATATAAATTTTTCAACTCATTAGTACTATTTTTACACGGCCCTGTTAGAAAAGTAGTCGTGATTCAATTTGAAGAACTGATAACACAAATTGGCATCTTTACTAAAAAAGAATAACTGTGCAAATTTTCATCAAAATCGGAGCCGACAAATTAAAAAAAAATTAAAAAATTCGTCAATCTGTAGAGAATTGCTCTTCTATCTTTGACAATGCAGCAGAAGGACTAGCCTATGTTGGCAGCTTTAACACTGCATTCCGTATGTATTGTTTCAAGATAGTTATGGAAAAAATGCTGTGACGTGTGCGCGTAGATACATCCGTAGTAAATTGTTTAATAAGTAAATCCGTTTCGAACGAAATATCTAAATTATGTAAGTTACGAAAACCGCGCAAATTCCGAAAGCCGTGTTGTCTCAACCGAAGCGAGAAAAAAAACGCTTATTTATCATTTAAAGAGTACCACCTAAATAAATGTGATAGCCTATGTTGGCAAGTTGATTAATTTTGGTTTACTCCCTAGATATTCTACTTATTTACTACTGAGCTTTGTATCAAATTAGTTAGTTTAAAGAACGTATCAATCATTTCAAGATTTCGCGACCGTACCGAACAAATTCTAAACTACATCAGATCAAAATACTTTTGGCAAGCTCTACCGAATTGCGAATCACTTCTGCGTAAGCTCCGTAGACGTAGGCGCGTTGAATCCGACAGCCGCGAAAAGTAAAACATGCATCGATGCGGCAATACCACAAGTGTTGGGAAAATATCAAAAAATCAAATCTCACCAATGCCCAAGATCACGCTTGATTTTCGTAGACAAAAATCAACAAGCAAACAACTGCTGTTGATTTTGCAAGCTGTGATATCGCAGCTCGGAATATCAAGCTAACAAAACTCACCAGTTGCAAATCTCACCAAACTGTGGTGAGATTGAGTTTAATGAGCTTTGCTTTACACCCGAACGCAACCGAAACATCCATAACGGCTGGCAGCAGTCCCTTCGTGTAAGAGTAAAAAGGGATAGCAAACTATACTTTCTCTTTCTAAGAAAACGATGTGCAACGGAATCATTTTTGTGTCGAGTCAACTCTCAGCTTGATTTTTGCACGTTGTGGATAGTCTCGCAATATCAAAGGAAGGAACTTGTAAAATCAATATCAAGCATGATAATTTGGTCCAATATCACGCGTGATATTGAGAGCGTATGAGAGCGGAAAAATATCATTTGATTGATGATTTTGCCAACACTGAATACCACATAAGAAAAGATCGATTTTACCGTCAAGTTTGTAAGAAAGTTTGAACATACTGAGAGGTTAGCACATATCATCGGTAAGAGACGTGTGTGTGAGAACCACCGGGCCGTAGTGATGAATATCATCAATTACTTTTACTTTGATTTACGGTTGAGGGGCTTTGCAGTCAATTTAATTATTTATAAGAAAGTTTGAACATACTGAGAGGTCATACTGAGAAGTAAGCACATATCATCGGTAATAGACGTGTGTGTGAGAAAATTTTCGAAAAAATCTAAGGGTACAATTGACAATGCACCCGTGTACTGAATGAGAATTGTGGGTTCGAATCCCTGAGACAAAATTTAGGTACCTGTTTAGGTAAATGTGACATTGCAGTTGGATACCTGCTTAGTACCTATTGATTAGTATATAAATCGTAGATAAAAGATGGATTCTTCAGTGGTGTTGAGTACATGGCACTGATGAAGTCTTCAAGTAGTAGACGAAATACGCGAATCTATCAAAAGATAAGCAATCAAAATTTCAAATCAGCAGGAGTTCCTCAGGGTAGCATTCTTGGGCCTATATTGTATAACATTTTCACTTTGGACTTCCCTTCCCTCCCTCAGGGTTACTACAAATCTTTGTTCGCCGATAACACGGGCATTTTCGCTAATGGAAGAAGTCTTCGTGTTATTTGTAGCAGACTGCAGAAAAGTTTAGATCTTTTCTCTTCTTATTTACAAAAATGTAAGATTTCTCCCAACGCTTCCAAAACACAACTTATAATATTACTAGAGCTTCCTTTTTGAAGCTTATATCTTGGATAAGAACTAGACCAAAAATTATCTTTTAAAGATCACATCACATCAAGATCACCAAATGTAACAAACATATATAATGTTAGTATCCTCTTATAAACAGGAAATCAAAACTTTACCTGAAGAATAAACTTCTAATATTTAAACAAGTTTTAAGACCGGCCATGCTTTACGCTGTGTCAATATGATCTAGTTGTTGAACTACCAGGAAAAACCCACTTCAAAAGATTCAGAATAAAGTTCTGAAGATGATTTTGAAGTTGCCTCCCTACTACCGAGGTACATAGAATTTCGAATGTTGATACTTTAGAACAAATGTCCAATAATTTAAAGCAAAAATCGTTGCAATGCTCAATTGCAATGATTAATTCCCGGTAACTTAGATATGATTTAGTATTAGTTTTTAGTTTTAAGATGTCAATTGTTATGCTGACAAGCAGGTTTGGAAAACCTGTTTATATACTGAATTGTCAAAGCAGGAGCACTGTAAAACATTCAGATATATATCATAACAGCTAAGGCTGGTAAGTTACTGGAGCACCTAGGTTAAAATGAAATGTGATTTATGTTGAATTTGGAATAAATAAAGAGTTAAAAAAAAGATTAGGTGACATACAAAACACTTGTGACTAAAAGTATGTGTCCACGTTATAAAATTAACAGTCGTTATGACTAGTTTTTCAATAGAATAATTACTCTGACTGGCCAGTTCGATGCCGTGTAAGCCGTTGGGAGATTTAACACAACCCAGTGTTTACTTTCCGACAGTACACTGTTAACTTGCACATATTTCTCCACGTTGTTATCATCCATGTTTCTCATGTAATCTAGATCTGAAATAAATTCTTAATTTTATTATTTTAATCTATTGCGAATGATGATAAATCCTTTTAACCTTTTTTTGATAAACCGGGGTACTGCATGTTATTGGTGTAAGCATTTTTATCGTCTTCATTTGTATAAGTGTTCGAAGAGTGATAAATATTCTGCAGAACATCTCCATGATTTATGTACAGCTTATCGTCGCCCTGTAGCAGTAAGTACGAATTGTAACTCTAAAAATATCGATTTGATTTTAATTTTTCTTTGTCTAGCAAACTTTATATAAATTACCATGCAAGGATTGATTGTTAGAATACTTTTCACAAAATCTAACTGTATGAGCATTGTTCTAGTCCCGGAACTGTTGGATCGTTTCAAATTTGGCTTGTGTACACTTTCACCAATTTCTCTACTACTACCGACCGAAACATTGGGACTCGATACCAACGATGAAGACGAGGCAGACTTATCTAAGTTAACGCTATAAGATTCGGATGGAATTAGTTCATTTAATTGACGCACCATAAACAATTGGTATCCTTCAGTTGACCAGTCCTATAAAGTAGCTAAATATATTAAAAATTCATGCTATAGGTCTACTAAAAGTCATACTCACCATACTAATTACGTTAAATGGGTTATTTTTCGATAAATCGACGTGCAATCCATAATCCCAGCCTAGTGAACACATCAACAATGAGCCAAACGTACTCCAAAGCGATATGCCGCCATTGCTCCATGCCATCATTATAGCGCATCCATCCGGAGTCCACTTGAGTTCGCTTACGTGTCCAGGAGAACCGGGAAAATCCTTAGCGCTTAAAACCAACCGATGAGACAATTCTAGACCGCCTGTTAAGTCATCTATTACGTACATGTTGGCTTGCGAATTACGTCTTCCGAATGCAATCAAGCGATATTTATGGTTAATTACAGCACATGTTGCATCATCCACGTTCTGGCACCAAATGCCCTGTACTTGCTGTAAAAGAGATTATGTTTAAATGATATTATTATGAGCTTGCATCGAAAATGTTAAACTTTTAATTTGTTTACCACAAACTCTATTTCAGTACAAATAAAGCGTTCAGCCGTTTATAAGAATTCCTAGCTTTAGGATGGGGGAACATTGATGGTTTTAATCTAAAGGCAGAGTATGTAAATCCGAACAAGTCAGAGCTTTCTGAACTGGACTATTTGTGAAGATCGTTCCGTACACGGAAGAAAAAAAATAAGAGGTCCATAAGGCATGACTTATGAACCTTGACAATTATGGTTTAATACTACCTATAATTTTTTTTTTACAATGAAAATAAATTATGTATTTTTTTTTTTTTTTACTAGTAAAATTTGTTTTATTCAGAAAGTTAAAAAATAATTACAGTACAATCATTCAAACTTCGTTTTCCAAAGCAAATTCTAATGCGGTTACGTCGATTACATTATTACATTGCATAATAAAGGTGACATATTTTATGAACAATTTGAGTAATTTACATTTTTTGTTTGTGTCTATATTCCTTAATTGGGGCCTCAAGAGTTCGTCAATCGAGAGTCGGCGCCATCCATTGAGTAGAGTTGTTATCTTTCGCTTCAGTAGTCTCCAAGCTGGCTCTACCCTTACGCATTCGCTGAGCTTGTGCTGCAATGTTTCACATGCAGCGTTGCAGTGCAGACAGTTTTCTCCATCGGCTCTATTCATTCGATACATCAGTTTTCGGTGCTCAAGCTTTCCGTTGACCAACAGAAACAAGGCGCTCCGTTCATTCGAGTTCAGCTTTCGCATGGATATGTTTTTCCAGATTTGGCGCCAGTTCGCTGTTGGATGCTCACGAGTTACCTTCGGTGCTTCAGTTTGGCCTATGAAATGGTTATGAATGCTATCGGCGGAGAGGTTTTGTTGGATTTGCGGAGGGAATGTTGGGAGACTTGAAAGAATGAGTTTTATACAAGGACAGTCTGCAGGTAGGGTAGGATTTGTCTGGGTAAGAATAGACCTGTAGAAAGGAAGGGAACCGATATCACTCACATGTCGATGAATGAGAAGCGCCTTGCACTTCATGGCTGGTAGCTGGAGTTTTAAACCACCTGCTTCTCTGCTACGCGCCAGCTGTTGCATTGGAACTCTCGCCGTGATGCCTCTCCATAGGAACGTGCCCATCGTCGCCGTCAGCTTTGCAGTGTGAGCAGCAGTCAGAGTGAGAATGGATGCGAGATACCATATTTTGGAGGTGATGAACGTGTTGAGAAGGGTGACTTTCTGGTTGAGGGTGAGCGTACGGAGCGAGTGGAGATATATCTGCTGAGCGAATTTACTGACGAGAGCATCCCAATTCAGCCTGCCCATGCACCGTATGGAATTTGCGAACGTCACTCCCAGAATGCGAACGGTGTTTTCATTCCGCAGCCACGGTACTGTGAGTGGCATGGTATCAGTGTAGCCTACTGATATCGATGTAGATTTCTCCAGACTTAGCCTGGCACCAGAGACACGTTCGAAGCGTTGAAATGTCTCTCGTATTTGGTTCATTCTACTCACACATGTGCTGATCACCGACACATCATCGGCATATGCAACCACGAGATCAGGTCCACATATACCCTCGAGCCGCTTGAGCAGAGAGCAAATAAATGCATAGAAAGTGGATCTCCCTGGCGAACCGATCTCTCGATGGGGAAAGCATCCGAGAGATGACCGTTTACCATCAGGCGAGAAGATGACAAATCTCCGATTTTGTTGAGTAGCTGAACGAGGTTCGGATCGAACCCGAGTGAGCACATGTTCCGAAAGAGAAATGCACGATCCACATAGTCGAAAGCGTGACGGAGATCAAAAGATGCTAGCAGACCCCGTTGTTTACATTTGACCAGCTGTGCGATACGATCCTTTAAGGCGAGCGTGGCCTGAAAGATGTTTCGGCCGGAGTTGGAGCATTTTTGACTCTCGCTGAGCACACGGTGGGTTCTCATCACGCTTTCCAGACGCTGCTTGAGGACACGAGAGAGGATTTTATAGTCGAAGTTGAGTAACGAGATCGGCCTGTACGAATGCGCTGTTGGATCGTTTCCCTTCTTTTTTACTAGCACGATCACACCGTCGACGAATTCGGCCGGAAAATTTCCCGAAAGTGCCTCATTTATGACCAGTGTGATTTCTCTCCAGATGAAGTCGAACGTTTTGAGATAGAACTCTCGGGGCAGAGAGTCTCCTCCGGGGGATTTGTTCGGGCTGCTCGTCTTGATGGCTGTGAAGATATCGGCCGGAGTAATTTCGTTCATACAGGACTCACTTACCGGATCGTTTTCTGGGATCACCCACTCACATTCGAATGTGTCCGCTGCTTCCCTTTCCGTCTCACCCGCAGCGTATAGTGCTTGATAGAAACCAAGCATGTGCCGCTCAATTGCGCCGGGGTCGTCGATGAGTTGGTTATCGTTGTCACGCAGCTGTGTGATGGTTGTTCGTTTCCTACGCCTGACACCCAGCTGGAACATCGAGATAGGTTCTCCAGAGATAAAATTCTCGTTGATGCGCATGAAGTATTGTGTGAAATTTCGCTGGAGGGTCAACATTTTTGCTTTCACACGGTTTATAGTTGACAGCATCGCAGGATTTTGATAGTATCTATCGTACGCTCGTCGTAGTTCTCCATAGAGGCGTTGATGTTCTTGATTGAATTCGTCGAAAGCAGCCTTTGACTTCCAACGGAAAAAGGATTTTATTTTGGGCTTTGCGCACGCTAGCCACCACTGCATCCATGAAGCGTAATTCCGCCGCTGGCGGGTCCAGAATTGCCAACGCACTTGAAATTCGTGAATGTTGTCTGGTGTTAATAAATGGGGACGGAGCGACCAAAACCCACGACCTGGCTCGCGCCCTGATTGTGGGAGGCAAATTCGCGCTGTCACGGCTTTATGGTCAGAAAAAGAGCATACATGCACATCAGCTGTTCTTAATTGACTCCGAAGGCTCTGGCTGACGTACATACAGTCTAGACGAGACGACGAGTTGTGTGTGATGTACGTGTAGCCGGGGATGTTTGGACAGAGTTGTTCCCAAACGTCGAGAAGCTGCAGATACTGTACGGATGCGAGAAGAGCGGGGCTGTGATTGTTTCCCGTTGCGTCACGTTGACGTAGGACACAGTTGAAATCACCCGCTACTAGTGTGCGTTCTGTGCCATGGCGGAGGTAGTAAGCAAGAGTATTGGTGAAGAAACGTTCTCTCTCTGCACGGAGTGCGGTACCAGATGGAGCGTACACGTTGCATATTGTTGTGTTTTCCAGTTGTAATGCAATCAACCGTCCGTCTAGGCTTTTTTCGACGTTTGAGAATCGCAGATGCTCCTTCAGCGCTATTGCCGTCCTCCTTCGTGAGTGATCCACATTGCACACAACAGTGTAGCCGGGCAATGTGAGTTGCTCGTTTTCTACTTCTTGAAAGAGTGCGATGTCTATATCCAGCGTGCGTAGAAAGGTTTGTAGTGCGTTGAGTTTTGTCGAGTTGGTGATAGTGTTGATGTTTATCGAGGTGATATTGTAACTGCAGAGAGCCATTATAGTTCGCAGTCTACCTCCTCGCTCGCATCACCGTCATAGTGTTGTCGCTGCTTCTTGCCTGGAGGACGACCACTACGGCGCTTGCTGCTTCCAGAGGCAGATGACCCATCGGTTTCGTTACCATCGGTAGTTTGTCGTGTGACCATTCTGCTGACAGAATTTATCAGAGCCGGCGGCGCCATGAGAGTAGCATTTTGCTCGGACTGATTTGTTTTCGCCAGCTTTGACGCAATTGGGTTTTGTTTAGGTGACTTCGGAACAGCGAGCGTAGGCTGCACGCTCGGTTGTTGGGATGGTGGATTTTTACGTTGTTGGTTCGTCTCAACGGGCTTCGGTCCGAACGGTTTAACGAGAGGCGATTTCTCCTTCGTTGCAGTGGGTTTCGTGGCGTTGGGTTTTGGCGCGGTGGGATTCGGGCCGATGGGACTCGGGCCGATGGGTTTCGGTCCGGTTTCTTTTGCTACATTGGCATACGTCTTCTGCACAAGTAATTTCTTGTTTTGTACACAAGAGATGCCATTGTGGACGAATTCGCCGCAATGACGGCATGTTTGCAGCTGTCCGGAGTAGGTCACATTCGTTGACTGACCGTCGATAGTGACGTAGCTTTCGATGTTACGTTGCAACATCATGCGCACAATCCGAGCGCCGGTCGGGCGTCCAGCAAAGCGGTATTTGCTGTCCCAGACTTGCTCGGTCACCGAGAGAACCTCACCGTATGCGCTTAGAGCTCGAGCGACTTTTTCGTTCGTGGTGAGCTCGGACAGGTCCGTTAGCTTCACCTCTACCGATCCATCCTCCAGTGTGATCCGAAGCTTGTACGTTTTGCCGTCGACCTCGATTTCGTGGATGTTGTCGTGCTCGGCAACGATTTTTTGTGCCAGCTCCAGGTCGACAACCTTCACAAAAGCGCATCCAACAGCCCTACTTGGCTGGAGCCGGAGCACCTGCTCGTATTCTAGACCCAACTCGATTGCAACGAAATCATGAAGCTCCTCGAAGGACGGCTTCTTCGGCACGTTTTCGTAATGAATACGAAACGTGTTTTCGCGTCGGACACCCATCGCGGCGAAACTACGCGGCGACAAGAACTCGCGAAACAAAACTCTTCAAAATAAAGAAAACAATATAGCTTTGCCTTCCAGCGAGAATAAATCGACTGCTTCGCTTGGAAGTTGAGCGCTAACTGATGGTTTAATACTACCTATAATCGCATATCTGTCCCGTATGGATTTTCGTCAATTTTGAGATAACTTATGGTGCATCTTATGAATGATTTAACACACTACGATATGGTTCTTATACGGTTTTAACCTATTCAATTTTTCAAGCGTTGATAGACGTGAGCGCAAATAACGGACTCAATAATTTGAACGCTCAAGATTCGAGTCCAGTCTGCTCCATTTTATTTTACTTTTTTAA